AGCGGAAAGTGGGAAGAGGGAAGGATGGATTGGAGATGAAAACTCTAAACACCAAACCATTCAAAATACCACCAAGAAGCGTTCAAAGAGTGTATAATAAAACATAATAGAATAAAATATATAGAAATAATAACATAAATAATATAAATGATATAATAACATATACTAAAGGAAATAACATAACATTTACACCTGTATCCCCAGAACGACAACGGCGCCCCCGTGACGTACCTCGATGACGTCACGACCAACAAGCACTTCCTGGTGGGTCTGACCTCCTTCGGCTTCGGGTGCAAGCAGCCCTTCTCCCCGGGCGTGTACATCAGGGTGGGCGCGTTCCTCGAGTGGATTGAGGAGAATATAAAGTAAATGGGATAAAGGAGGGAAGGAGGGAAGTCGAAAGAAGAGAGAGAGAGAGAGAGAGAGAGAGAGAGAGAGAGAGAGAGAGAGAGAGAGAGAGAGAGAGAGAGAGAGAGAGAGAGAGAAAGAGAGAGAGAGAGAGAGAAAGAGAGAGAGAGAGAGAGAAAGAGAGAGAAAGAGAGTCGGGAAAAGGGAGAGAGAACTCGAAGAAAGTGGAGAGGAGAATTACATGATGGAGGAAGGAGGAAAGGAAGAAAGGGAGAAGAAAAAAATCAAGAAACGAAAGGGAAGAAGAACGTGGATTAACATTTATATATATATATATATATATATATATATATATATATATATATATATATATATATATAAGCAAAAACAAAGAAACGCGCGAATAAAGATGGTATGAAACGCGGCCAGAAGAGCAAAGGAGTATTCATTCGAGTAAGCCACTCCGTATTTGCGTCTGACGAGGAGCTTGGTTCGACTCGAAACGTCCTTTATTAATCCTCCGTTATCTTAATTATTTCTTTTTATAAATAGTTATGATATTTATTTACGTTAAACAATTATTTAGTACTCATAGAATAGGAAAATAAAACATAACAAGTAATATGAGATAAACAGGTACCATATTTATTGATTTTTTTCCCCTAATCATTTCTGTTTGTTTGTTTATGTTATTACTGTATCTTCTCGAAAATAAAAGTATATATGGCTGACACACGAATTTTATTTCACTTATATTAGCATATACATAAGTGAACAAATAACAGGACTGGGATAAGCCATAATGACGACAAACGACAAAATATAGTTGTTTTTCCCCGAAGACGACCGCAATCTTTTACTAATAAGCTCTTTATCATAGAAATTACTGTCCAGTAGTTCGGTCTATTATCGTCAATCAAGATCCTACTTGTTCAAATTATCGGAAATTCTTTGATCTTGAAAAGCCGTAAGTGCATCGCTACGTTTGTTTATCTCGCGGAATGACTTCCTAATGAGGTGGGGTTATGTAAGAGACCTTATGGACGGTGCTATTAGAAGTTTCATCGGGTTTCTACGTGCTCGCACACACACACACGCACGCGCGCGCACACACTCATATACGGAATACATAAACCCACATGCTTATATGGTTTTAACCTATGGGAAGAGAATATAGGTAGTAAGATACTACAGCTGCGGCCATCGAATTATATGGAATTTTAGATTTATAAGTGCCTAAGAGCATATTATAGAAGTGGCAACGTTCCTTGCTTTTTGTCCCGTGTGTGTGTGTGTATCTTTGTTTAAAAGATATATAAACTGATCCCTGAACCTTAATTCTCAAGTCTAAGCCCACTTTATATCCACTTATGTTTCTCGAGAAAATTCAACGTTTCTTGAAATCCACAAGTAGCGGCTGCTTTCTCTTTATTTGTCTTACGGCTTCTCTGTTAATTCCTTTGACTAGATATATAAATTTTGTGATAAAACATTTCAGCGTGCCCTTACCCTCCAACTTCTTGCAAGAAACAATTTGCAGGCTCCCATACCCACTTGGACTGAACTGAAGGACAGTCGCCTCTCTACACGCCGGTTGGTCAGGCCTGCAAATGCGGACTCACTGCCCTGTAGTTTCGGCTAACCCTCTTACGCACGAGGGTACAGATGTATATACATATTAATGTATATTGCACTGTATATATATATATATATATATATATATATATATATATATATATATATATATATATATATATAGACATTTATATATTTATAAAGAAATACGATATGAACTGAAAACGAAAGTAACGTTTCAAACTCTTTATTAGTAGCAGTGTTTCTTACTATGTGTGTGCTTGTATAGAAACACACACATACACATACAAACACATATATACTCATACATACATACATATATATCTATATCTATCTATATATATATGTATATTCATATGTGCACACACTCACACACACACACACACATTTATATATACATACATATATGTATACAAGTGTATATAATTATATATATATTCATATATACATATATGTATACAGACATGAATAATCATATATATACACATATATATAATATACAAATATAATGAACACAACGCGAAAGTATAAACACAACAGTATTATGACAAGACTTCACCAGTCGACATCTGACCTGCTCTCCGCTTCACACACTGATCTGTTCTCCTCAGTCTTCAAGATCTGCGGGTCATATTGCGGGAAAACACATCTACCGTCAGTCCACGTCGAGTGCAAAACATCAGTTCAAATTATACGTATACAAGACGAAACTGGGCTACGGTTTCTGTAAGCATCCGGCTCATCCGATAGGTCAACTTTGCGTGGATAAAGGCCTGTAGGCTTCGAGTATAATGATAATAATAATTATAATCTAACATCCACTAAAGAAACGCACACAAACGAGATTATCAAACATGTTGACACGAGATAGTAGTCCTATAAATTGTCACACGCAAAAACACACAAGCGTCATGGGAGTCGCAAAGCCCAGACAATCAGTTCCACGCAGTTTTACCCAAGTCCGAATGCTTGTGCCCAGTCTTCGGGGAGGAGCTCGACCCAGGATACGTACTCGTTGACTGATAGAACACATTATTCGCGCCATAGTCGTTGTTACTCTCCAGCATTTTTGGTGACAAGACGATGCAGGAATGAGCCCTCTGCATAGACGAGGTGCGCGTCGTGGTTTCCAGAGCTGACACTTTTGCGGTGCGAGTCTCGAACCCCAGAGACGAATTCACCCTCACAGACACCTCGTCCTTCCGGGTCTCGATCTCCCGCTCTCCCTCGAGAAGGACGTCGTCTACGCTCTCCTTGGGCGCGCAGCAGCAGCAGCAGCAGAGGCCGAAGATCCAGAAGATAGTGAAATCAGCGATGGTTCGGAGCTGAGACACTTTCAGACCGAGCAGAATCGGGTTCAGGGCGCAGGTGAAGAAGGGGAGAATGCCAACCACCTGAAAGATTCACTATTCTGCCAGACGCCCCACGAAATCCCGGTGATGATGATGATGGTGATGGCGATGGTGATTTGAAGGAGGGGGGCGCTAATAAGCCGATGGAATGACTAATAATTGTGTTAGTTTTAATTCCTGGTAATACCCGATGGCATGAATAACTGAAATTATGTGGAAATAACAACAATAATAACAAAACAGAACTACTGCAGTAATAATAATATATATGTAAAAAGGAACAAATGATCCATAACCACAGTAAAAATATCAATGACAATGATACAATATTAATATCACTGTGACTAATCGAAAGTACAGTTAATAATGGTAATAATAACAACAGCAATAGCAACAATAAAGATAATGATATTAATTGACAACAACACTCATAATACCAATAAGAATAAAAACATGCATTGGGTCGTGTTCCGTGTAAAATGGCTGCTTAGATATTAACTAAACTTAAAGAAGGAGAGAGAGAGAGAGACAGGCAGACAGACAAATAAAGATGGAGACACAGAGTGTAAGAGAGAGAGAGAAAATAAATAGAAAGGCTAAAGTATATATTCATCAAAAAAATAAAAATAAAAGAACACTCATCCTAAACAGGACTTTGAGACCAACAACGAAAAGAACACCACCATTGTCCAACACCACAGTAACTACTACTCACGAATAAAGGAAAGAATACTGATAATAATGATAAAAAACCTTTCCTCTAACCTGTGATACAGCCGCAGCAGGAGACGTTGTCACCAAGGTAATGAATTTATAAAGGGTGAAAGGCGCCCAGCAGCCAAGAAAGGTGAAGAACGTTAGGGAGGTCCTTATAGTGAGTCCAAATTCTTCCCAGACGCGAGATCTCTCACCGGGGTGGTTGCCGTTCCTGAACTGGGACCTTGGGGGGGGGGGGGAGCTTGGGTGAATGGGATGGTGATGATGGTGGAGGAGGAGGAGGTGGTGATGATGGTGGTGGTGGCGATGGTGATGATAATGATGGTGGTGGTAGTGATGATGATGATGATGGTGATGGCAGTGATGATGATGGTGATGATGCTGGTGGAGGAGGTAGTAGTGGTGGTGGTGGCGGTGTTGATGATGATGATGATGATGATAATGATGATGATGGTGATGATGCTGGTGGAAGAGGTAGTAGTGGTGGTAGTAGCGATGGTGGTGATGATGATAATGATGATGATGGTGGAGGAGGTAGTAGTGGTGATGGTGGCGGTGGTGGTGATGATGATGATGATAATGATGATAACGATAATGAGGATAATAATGTTGTAAGCATGTTTATAATGCTGAAACTTTTCTTATATTTTCTATTTCATCTCAGAATTACTGACATTTCTATTCTAATAATATACAACGCTTTTTCGTCACTGTCTTTAAGTATACTTGGTAAATAACTCTTAATGTTTATATGACAAAAGTTCTGTGTTTTCCTGCGTAATTGTGAGGACAAAACATTATTTACTTAAACATTATTTACTTATAGGAAGGGAATTCAGTCCCATACCCCATTAAATTGGATCTAATTTGTATCTCTATACTATTTTTTGACTATCGTTTACGACAGAGTACGATTCTTTTGTCTCTATTATATGGCATATTCAACTGTTGTATTTTCTTTTCATAATTGCGGTTTTCTCATATCAACATCATGCGTTACTTTTCTCCTTTGAAATGAAGCCAACTTCAGATTTCTATTATAATTACTAAGTTTGGTAAAAGTATCTATATACACTCGCACACATACACACACGAATATGTTTACAGGTATACATACATACACACACACACAATTATATATATATATATATATATATATATATATATATATATATATATATATATATATATATATATATATATATATATATATATATATATATATATATATATATATATATATATATATATATATATATATATATATATATATATATATATATATATATATATATATATATATATATATATATATATATATATATATATATATATATATATATATATATATATATATATATATATATATATATATATATATATATATATATATATATATATATATATATATATATATATATATATATATATATATATATATATATATATATATATATATATATATATATATATATATATATATATATATATATATATATATATATATATATATATATATATATATATATATATATATATATATATATATATATATATATATATATATATATATATATATATATATATATATATATATATATATATATATATATATATATATATATATATATATATATATATATATATATATATATATATATATATATATATATACTTTATATACATACATATATATATAGATAGATGGATAGATAGATATATGTGTATGTGTGTGTGTGTGTGTGTGTGTGTGCGTGTGCATTTGTGTGTAAACACACATACATGTATACCATATATGCATATGTATGTATGTATACCTATACAGACACATACACTATGCGTATGTGTGTGTGTGTGTGTGTGTGTGAGTGTGTGGAGATCGATATTGATTGGACATACAATTGATGCATTGGTTAAAACTGGAAAGATGTCTGGACCATTCAGGATTGCCAAACCCCACCAGAATGTTTATTTATGTATTTTTATTTTGAAGACATTTAGTGTAGATAATTTAGTGTTATAAATAACAAAGTAAATTATAGTAATTATCTCTAAATGGTTGGTCTGTTAAAGCGTTCACAAATTCAGTGGGGGAGGAGAGTAGTAGGCAGATATCCATAACCAATAGCTCTCCTCTAACACACAGATCTGTTTGCTCAAAAATTTAAGGTTGTAATGCTTAATAAGTGTATCCGTACAAATTTTAAATCCATATTGATTAATCTGTGATAGCTAAGGCTGGTTTCTGTTCTCCTCTCACATGAAGAGACAGAAAGAGCTCAGAAAAAAAAATTGTAGGAGACCAACACATCCTAATTCCACCAGCCCAGTTTGCTTTTTTTCTCTCTGGATACAAGGGAATTAGTTGAAGGAGACAATATTCTGATTGTGTCAAGGAATTGATTAGGGAAGGATTCACAGATTAAAGTAAAGTGTGGGAAAAGGAAAATCGTGAAGGTAGTGTAGGATTGATTACTTAATTCGACCAATTAGAATAACAGAAAATACTGTAATTTGGGAGTGAGTTTTTCAAACCCGTCTCACTTTTTATCTTTAATATAGCATCTTCATGATCATCATTGATTTATAATTAGTAGGTATATGGAGGGTGTACAATTAAAGTCTACCATAGACTTAAGCTATTTCAGTAAAAGTATTCAGTATTCCTTGCATTTCATTCATCATTCTGATATTTATCATTGCTACTGTCAAACTCATTGTAATATGCCACAGATCTATTGTTATTAGATTGCAGAATAAAAGGAATTACTTAAAACTGTTTTTTATGACCTTTGAATCTTCGGAATAAATTCAATCCAACCCACGAGCCTTAAGTCTGTTAAGTCAGGCTACTCAAATTAAAATGAGGTAAGTCACAATTGGATTTCCTTAACATCCAAATCCCTGGGTGGTTGTGGGGATACCGCAGTAACATTTTCTTTACTCGTTTTAGAATTTGTCTTGTCAAATTGGCAGCAGTAATTTAGTAGAATGTATTTTATTATGAAATGTTTATGAAATGTATATGACATATATACATACATATATATATATATATACATATTTGTGTATAGATAGATAGCTATGTGTATATATATATATATATATATATATATATATATATATATATATATATATATATATGTGTATATATCTGAATGAGGAAAACACTCTACCGTGTTGATACTATGGTAGAAAAACCCACAATGTAAAAACTAGATTTATTGAAAAAGAAAGTTTTTACATTGTGGGTTTTTCTACCATATATATAGATATATATATATATATATATATATATATATATATATATATATATATATATATGTATATGCTTATACATAACCACACACATTCATACACAACCCGACCCGCCGGAGCACTGACCTCCGCTGCCTGAACGCCGTGCGGAAGACGGGCACGTTGAGGATGACGCAACCCAGGAGCGGGAGTCCGACGTTCCCGAGCAGCAGGATCGTGTTGTATTCCTCCCAGAGCAGCTTGCTGTACTGGCACGCCGTCTCCTGGAGCAGGTGAGCGGCGAAGAGGAAGGGGAAGGCGTAGAAGACGGCGAGGTAGAGGTATAGGGCGACGAGGAGGCGGAAAGCGATTTTTTTGGTGGCGTGGACCTCGTAGACGAAGGGAAACATGATGGCCATGAAGCGGTCGGCGGAGGCGGCGAACAGGGTGCAGATGGTGGCGCTGCGGCCGAGAGGGTCAGAGCGTAATTGCGCGTTGCAGATTATGGTATCCGGACAATATGTGATTACTAAAGGCGCTGGCGACGAGAGAGAAATATTATGACTAATACTAGTTCTTCCATTAATAATACTTCGAGTTTTCTTCTCTCTCTCTCTCTCTCTCTCTCTCTCTCTCTCTCTCTCTCTCTCTCTCTCTCTCTCTCTCTCTCTATCTATCTGTCTATCTATCCATCTATCTCTCCGTCTATATATCAATCTATCTATCTATTTGTCTATCAATCTATCTATCTATCGATCTATTCATCCATCTATCTATCTTAATCTTTATCAGAAACAGACAGACAGACAGACAAAAACAAACAAACAAGTGGCCAGACAGAGACCCACAAACAGACAGGCAGGCAGCAACAGCCAAACAGAGAACCAGAAGAAAATCACACACACAAACCCCACAGTAAGAAAGAGAAAAGCGGACCTCACCTCACGCAGAAGGCCGCCCCGCAGAGCCGAGTCAGACAGAGAAAGAGGGACTCCCTGGTGTCGTTGTCGTCGATGAGGCCGTAGATGCAGCAGAGGTAGTACACGGCAAACACGCTCGTCAGGCTGCTGGAGAGGGCGGTGCCGCAGCTGAAGACCTGGCCGGGGGAGTCGCGTTTGCTGAAGGACGGGGGAGGTGGTGGGGAATAAAGATAGTTAGTCGGTTGATATTGCAGGCATTTATTATTATTGTTATTATTACTATCATTATTATTATTATTATTTTAGTTTTTTTTTTGGGGGGGGAGGAGGGGAGGGATTGGTGTAAAAGAGATGCTCACGAAAGAGAGGAGAGAATGTGTAGAAAAATTAACTGCTCGTTGTTACATGGATGAAACGGAATTATCGTGATAATATGGGTAACTATGTAAGAGAAAAGAATAAGTAAGAAAGAAAGGGATGAGAAAAGGCAGAGAAAAGAAATAATTCCCAAATATTACATGAATGATAGGGAAATATTGCGATAACGGATGAATAACGATATAAAAGAGAAGAATGAGAAAGAGAGAGAGAGAAAGTGAGTGTAGCAAAAACAACATCTTGATATTACCTGAATGACAAAGTTGTTGTGATGACCTATAAATGATAAGGGAAATTATTGAGAAAGAGAGGAGAGGACGCTGATAGCAATAACAACTAGCTAATAGAGGAATCGATAGGAAATTCTTGAGATAGCAGATGAATATTGGTGTAAGAGAGGTGAATAAGAAAGAGAGAGGGGAAAAGAGTAAAAGATAGATGTTTTAATCAGTGTAATAACAGATAAATAACAGAAAACAATGAGAAAAAAAAACAGAGAGAGGGAGGATATGGAAAAAATAACAGTAAGTATTACATAAATAAGGATAAATTATTTATGACGGATAAAAATAAGAAAGAGGGAGCTTAACGATAAAAAGGAAAAATAGGTTAGTCGACAGAAATTGTGTGAACGTTACGTGTTTGATAAACATTATTTATACTAGCAAGTAAATAATGACACAAAATAAATGAACAAGAAACAGCAATATGTAGACACTAAAATATTAATAATAATAATGAATAACACATGATAATACGTAATTAACATGTAGTGACAGAGAAAAATGCAATTGTGTTTATACAATTAAATCTCACTTCGAACAGATAATACAATAGTGTATTACTGAATGCAAGGTGATATAGAAAGACACAATCAAAGAAAAAAATATAGCAAACAAAGAGAAAAGAAATGGAAAAAGGGAGGAGAAGAAGAAAAAGATGAAGAAGAACTGGAAGATTAAGAAGAGAAAAATTAAGTGATGAAGATGAAAAAAAGAATAAGAAGAGAAGAAGAAGAAGAAACGAAGAAGAAGACAAAGACAAGAAGAAGAGGAAATTAAGATTAAAAAGAATAAGAAAAAAATACAGGGAAGGATATGATGCTGAAGAAAAGGAAAACTAGAAAACAGAGACGAAAAGGAAACAGAAGAAGAAAACGCAGAAAAAATGAGATAAACAGGAAGAAAGAAGCATCGATAACGAATAACAACAACAAACAAACAAACAAACAACAAACGTAATAGAAAAAAGGGTATCACTAACGGATAACAATTCCAGTCCTAAAACAAAACCGCGGAAGAAGTAAAGCTAAGAAAACCGACCGAAAATGACCACGAGAGAGCGCGCGATGCCCCTTACCTCGTGGCCAGCACCGTGACGTTGCCGATCAGCGCCACCGTGCTCACCGCGATCATGACCACGAGCCAAGGGCCTTCCATTCCTGACGGGGAGAAGGAAAAGCTGCTGTGAGAAGCTCGGAGGGAGACAAGAAGGAAATGATTTTAAAAAAGATAAAAAAAATGAAAAGGCTGTTGTGAGATAGACAAGGTAGGGAGGTAGACAAGAAGGAAATGATAAAAAATAAAAATAAAAACAAAAAAGCTGTTGTGAGAATCTCGGAGGGAGACAGGAAGGAAATGATTAAAAAATAATGATTAAAAAAAAATGAAAAAGCTGTTGTGAGAAGCTCGGAGTCAGACAAGAAGGAAATGATTTTTAAAGAGATATTTTTTTTTAATGAAAAAGCTGTTCTGAGAATCTTGGAGTGAAACAAGAAGGAAAAGATTTTTAAAAGAAGATAAAAAAGATAAAAAAAATGAAAAAGATGTGAGAATCTCGGAGTGAGACGAGAAGAAAAAGATAAAAAATAATAATAATAATTAAAAAGCTGGTGTGAGAATCTAGGAGTGAGACAAGAAGGAAAAAAAAATGTGAGAAACTCGGAGTGAGACAAGAAAGAAAAGAAAAAAAAAAGAAAAACAATAAAAAAGACAAGGAAGATAAGATTTAAAAAAAACGATATATATATATTTTTTTAAATAGAATAAAGAAAGAAAAAAGATGAAAGACTGTTGTGAGAATCTCGGAGTAAGACACTAAGGGAAAAGATAAAAGAAAAGAAAAAATAAAACAGATAAAAATCTCGACGCTGAAGGACTGAAGGAAGGATTGAAGACAAGGAAGGCAAAAACGTTTCGAAAGGGAGGAGGTGGCATTAAGAAAAGATAAAAAACAAAAAAGAAGATAAAATGCTATTGTGAAAATCTCGACGCTAATGGACTGAGACAACGTTTCGAAAGAAAGGTGGTAGAAAAAAAAATAAAAAATAGGGAACACATGACAAGGATTTTCGAAATGATGGAAGGATAAAAAGAAAAAAAACTCAGTCAAGCTCTCTTTAAAGATTGGTTTCTCTGTTACGGGTTAATAAACAGGAAAATATTATATTCACGTTACATCAACAGTATCTTTTAAAGAGGCGGTGTTCGTGCATTGCTAACTAGTAGATAACTTATTCATTCTAAAAAATAACGGTAATTTTACAAAAGTGATAAAGAAAAAATATAAAAGAAAATAATAATGATAATAATAAAAAAAATAAATGAATAAATAATAATAATAATGATAATGATAATAATAATGTGGGAAATGGGAAGAACTTGAAGAAACAGAATACAAAAGAAAACAAAAGAAAAAAATATGGGGGTAAGAAAAACGAAAAATAATAGACAGCACATACAAAAATTACAAAAGAGAGCTAAAAAAATATCAATATCTATCTATTTAGGTCTACGTACTTATATACGTATTCATTTATCTTTTAAAAAAATAATTAAACAATGATAAAATGAAGAGGAAAAAAGACAGCATGTACCAGTCGCCATGTCGGTCGCAGAGTGAAGCCTCATATCACGCTGACTCGAAGCTTCGGATAATCTAAAGTGGGAAACGAACGCATAAGTAAATCAGTACACAGCGATATATGAATAAACCTGTGAATGAGTCATTAAATCCGTAATTATATATGTGCAATGGGCACACAAATAAATCAGTAAATACATAAGTATATAGATAAACATGTGAATAAATAAATACTTAAACAATGAAATGGATAAATAAAAACATGAACTGCTGTACAAAAACATTTGATAAGGTGATGACAGTGATCATAATGGAATAAAACTGAAAGATATAAGACTGCTTTTGCTTTTACGCTCTCGTTTCCTTTACTAATGTTACGTCTTTTTCTCTCCTCTATTTTCCCATATATTTTATTTTTTATTTTTGAGTTATCCATCGTTTTCTGTGTCATTTTCTTCTTACTGCAGTTACTGTCAATATGACAATTTTTATTTCATCTGTGCCCGTGCCCCGCACTGTCCTATGCCCTGCTCTGTGCCAATAATGACAGTCATAATGAGGATGAGGAGGATTATAATCGGGGCCGGATTATTACCTTTTGGGGCCCCGAGGCTAATGAAATTATGGGGCCCCTCAGACGGAGCCACCCTCTTGAATATTTTTTACTCGTGATATATTTTAGCGACATTTACATAGCTTGAAGTAAACTTATTGCAAATTCTTTGAATAAACTAGCATAGCTATTTTTTGTTTGTCAATAAAAATATTCTTTAAATACCACTATTTTACTATATTTCAGCACAACCGTAGTGAAAAAAATATATTTTTTATAACCAGCATTATAACAATAAAACAATCAAAATAAATATGAGTTTGTCATATTGATATCATTTCAGTTTATGAAGCTATTTAGAAGTTATAACATCTAGAAAATTAAAATCACTTCTTTATAAAGATTTCTAAGACTGGACTGAGGCCCCATAATTTACAGCGCCAAACTGGGGCACCTGATCTCAAATAAACGGCTTCAAACCGGGGCCCTTATCTCAAATAAGGGGCCACAAACAGGGTCCACTTTTTTTTTAATATT